AGTTCAAAAAATTAAATTCCAGAGTGATTAAAAAGATGAGGTTTGGTCATGGCTTAAATCCATAAAAGGCTGCATTTAGGGCTCAGAGCATGATGGAACCTCAATTCCCAGTTAATTGCAAGTGGCAAATTCTGCCATCTGCTCACAAAAATCAGCTGTTGAGGAGTACGTATTTATTAGTAAAATTTATATGCTGCTGTTCTTCTTCCCAGTAAGGAACATATGTGCATCTCCAGAGCTCTTTTTATTCTAGAGAGGATTTCAGCAGTCTGGGCCTCATATCCAGATGCCTTTTCAACTGTAGTACCCCTGCAATTTGCACCAGAGTGAGGGAAAATGTGGGCTCCAACTTGCCTTGCCTCACTGAAAGCCTGAATTGTGTCCCGATACCTTTTTGTAAAAAATGTTTATTAAATTTTCATAATATAAATACAAACAAAAATCAAGACAGTAGGAAAATGGGGAAGGGAAAAAAGGGAAAGAGGGAAGTGTATGGTAGAGAGAAAAAGAAGAAAAAATGTGTTAACTTCCAATTTTTCTCAGAGCAGTAGAACAAAAATAATAAGGTACAACCTTGCTTTTTCGACATATCTAACATACTAGGCATTTCTATAACAACAGATTGTCTAATCAGCAAATCCTAAAGTCAAAATTTCATTTTTCCCCCTGTCTTCAGTCTAGAAGTGGTTTCCAAGTAGAAACAAAACTGGATGTATTTTTCAATTAAAGCATTTGATACAGCCATTTCTGCTAGCCTCACCAGTTTCTCCATCCATACTTTATTGTGAGGATTAATCTTTTCCCTTTTAAGCATACAGAATTGTTGCTACAGTCAGTATATACAGCCACAAAGTCACAAGTTTTTTTTAAGTTCCTTGTCCACTTACTGGGTCCTGATATCTTGACGGAAATCTTAATCTTGTTATATCCAGAAGAAGAAAAGGCTGTTTTTAAAACCTATTTTGCTCTTGAAAGACAGCCTTGTCATGACAATTCTTGACATTATGGTTGTCAACAAGACTGTTCAGTATTTTTTTCCCAGACTCTTATTTTTCTTCAAATGAATGGAGTGGATTTATTCCTCATTTTCATCCTACATTCTTTTTCTCTCTTTAAGACAGGCTACTGGGAACTTAGCCAGAATTTACTACAAAACCCAACATACCAAGAGAGCCTTTTGGCCCTCTCTTTTCCTTCTGGGAAGAATAGTTTAGTTCCTTTCTCCAAAAGGCATAGCAACAGTGGAACACTTCTAGCAGGAGCTGCTAGAGAGATGGCGTTGGCATTTCTTGGACTACTTTCTTACTATCTCATCCCAGTTAGAAGTTGTTGGATGAATCAAACACCATTGTGTAAATAAAAAGATAAGTTAAATGGTGTCACTGATACAGAATTTGAGCTAGGAGGAAATACCAGCAAGTAGTACATAGATTATTTCTCTTACAGATCTTTAAAATCTACAGATATTAAATACACAGCCTGGCCCAAGCTAGTTAGGTGTGCTGAGACCACAATATCCAGAGTTATTCACTCATGTGGTCAGTACCTGCATTGGCTCAGATCAATTCAGTGTTTCATTAGTCAACTGATCGTATAAACCAGCTAGAAATTATAGAATTTCTAAATCCATCACACCTGGTTATCACATTAGGTTGGCAGATTGTTGTAAATTGAATAATGATATGTTAAATCTTCAAGTTATGTGGAGTAACTGCTTTTTTCTTTCCAACAGAATGATTGTGCCTTGGTGTGTCGTTTGTGAGGTTTGGGCATTTAAAAGGAGTGCCATAACACTACTGTCGTAGGTACATCATCGTCGGGGCTGAGAAGCATCCCCTGGCCAGGGCTTTGGATAAAATTGAAGGGCTGCATCTTTTTCCTCATTGTGCCTCACCTGAAGCTCGTACCTATCTTGAGTTATCCGCCTTGTGAAGAGGCTGGAACCACTCTAGCATCTTCCTTTTTATGCCTCTGGATCTGTGTTTTGCAATTCTTCAAGTGTTTGCACAATTTATTTCCCTTTTAAATATATATATATATTTGTACTGGGATGGGTTTTAAATTATAAAAATTACTGTTTTGGAAGCAGACTTTTAAGAATAAGTACTGTTTCCACTAAGATTATTATTTTTTGTACATTTTTAAAATCATAATGGGTGTTTAACAGAGGCATATTTTAGAAGTGTGCTTTTTAAAAAATGATTGAAATAATATATGTCACTTTAAATCCCCGTGGCTGCTCCAATGAAGTTTTTGTCGTATTGCAGTACTGTTAAATGATTTGGCAGACTGGGTAGATTATTTTTGTAGCTGTTCAGATGTGAGCAATCTAATCAAATTTAACTTGATTTGTATGTGAACACTACATTAATTTTTCTTGAAATAAAACAGTACCTTTACTTATTTTTTCTTGTGGCCAAGAATTTTTTTTTTTGAAATGTTTAGAATGTCTATAAATTCCGAATGCTTGATTTTTTTTTCATGTTTTGCTATCCTTTTAACTTTAAACTTAAAATAATCTAAACCATTCCTTCACAAGTAGTTTTGCAAAATCCCTTTTCATATATGCAGTTTCTCCAAATACTGTATATTTCAAAGTATTTGTTTTCCATGTTGAAGAGATGCTGTAGGCCAAATATATAACAAGTTTTCATTACAATCACTAATGCATTTTTTCTGTGTAATTGTGGGCTGTTACAATCCATTGAAAGTAAATCTAATTCAGTAAATTCCACATAACTACCCCGACTGGATCTTTGTCAGTTAACTTTATTTCCAAATTCTATGCAAAGGATGATATAATATAGTGCTTCTCTAGGACAGTGGTGGTGACAAGTCAGTCAAAGGCAACATGCCACAATGTTTTGGGTGACATTCTAGTGTTCACCAACACCCAACAACTAGTTTTGAATGCCTACCCCATTCTACTGTGATTTTTTAAGATTGAAGAGGTCTCCTGATAAAGTAATGCTCTTATTGAGCCTCAACCCCCTAAAAATTGTTTGGAAAAGAGGTATGCTTTTGTATAGTTTTCTGAGGCTGCAGAGGCCGTGAAAGATCATTTTCTGAAGCCACTTCAAGAATGAAAGCATTGTGTGAGCAACCTTAGGTAGGCCACAGGGACTTGTGAACAAAGAGTAGTACATTGCCTGAAATTAAGCAGCGCACAGTAGATCCTGGGAATCACACACAATTGGATTGTATTTTTTAAAATAAATGAACATGTAAAGAATTGTTTCTCTTTTGTTTCGGGACACCATCTGACATGCCAACAGACTCAAGATTGGCATTTCTGAAATGTTGACATGCCAATCCCAAAACATTTGCCACCACTGCTCTAGAGAAAATGGTACTGGTATGTGACCCAAATTATTCTTGCCAAGACTGAGAAACATAAACTATGATCTGAGGTACAGGACAAGGTGATTCCCATTTCCTGTGGTCCAGTGAACTTTAATAAACACCTCAGTGACTAACAAGTGGTTTTGCTCAAGGCTTTGTTATAAAACATGTATAACTTGTTATGTTCAGTGAAATATAGTTGTAGTCTTCCTGTGATATCTTCCCAAGCTTGTCTACTTTAAAGGGCTGCTGTCAGCCTTGCAAGTCTAATTGTGCTTTTCTTCCTCTCTCGTTTATATCCCAGTGAATCAGAGAAATTTGCCTCTTTCCAATACTATCTTGTTTCCCAGAATCCCTAGGGACTATTTCAGTCCTCTTTATATGGTGGTTCTTGCATAGGGAGTAGGGACTGCAACTACTGAAAAAAAAATGAATAAAATTCAAGTAATACCAAAGTTGAATAATGTAAGCTGATGAAAAACAACTTAAAGGGGAATATGAAACCGTAGACAAATATTCTCATTTCCTATATCCATTGTGAAAAATATGTGCCACTGCTTCTCTCTTCAGAAAACAATGTTTACCAGATGAAACAAAGTGGAAGGCTGAAAATGTCAGGGGTACAGCCTCTGATTTGTACTCACTCTCCCAGATTCAATTCCTCTGCTTCAGACTACAGCCTGAAAACATGAGATAGTACAGAACTAGGTAGGTATAAGGGACATTTACACGTTCTTATTTTAGAATACAAGATTCTTTTCTTGGCCAATAAAGTGACATCAAACTTGAAAAAAGTATTCAAAAAATGCACGTTATTGTGTCACATTTTATATACAGAAGATTACATTCTACATTTCTACAATATCCCTTACATTCTGAAATAATTCCTGTTTGTGAGCAAGTAAGAATGGACAATTCAATTTCACCGCTGTTGGAGCCACACTGTGGACAGGAGTGTTTTTCAAAGTATCTTGTTTTGGCAGGTGGAAAGGGGAGAAATTAATATCCTATTTCTAAAGCTAAGAATGAATGAAAACCAATTTCAATTACATCTTGTAAACATTTATTTCAAAAATACAAAAGTAACATCTTACACTAAGCACTGTAAAATATCTAATATATATTCATTTATAGTTATTATTTGGAAGATTTGTTAAAAGCTTTGGTCTTAGGCACATCTAGCATAAATGCAGCCAACTTAGCCACACGTCTCTTAGAGACAGCCATGAGTGTATCGTTTCTTTGGTGGCAGGTGGATATTTTGAGAGTTCATGGATTCTGTGTTTGCCACCATAAGATCAGGTAAGGGAGAACTTCTCTTCAAGTTCAGTTGCTGATGTTGCTTGGCAATTTTTCTGACAGTCTCTTGAGAGGTAGAAACGTCTGTGTTCCTGACAAGCAAAAAGCCGTTGGTTCCTGGCTGGATTGGACTGTTCTTCCTATCACAACTTTGTTTTAATTTAGGATTAAACCTGCGATAAAAAGATTCCACTTCAGGGAGGTCAGCAAGATTAGTCATTGACATGGTATCTACCAGGTGATTGTATGCCAACGGGACTGGATTTCTTGCATGCTCCTGCAGTGGAGGTGAGGCCTCTTTCTTCCATACTTCCACATGCATCTTTCGGTGAGGTGGCAGCAATCTGGGCCTCTTCCGCACTGGAGACTCCATCAGTAAATCAGAAACACAAATTTGTAGGAGTTCCTCTTCAACATTTGTCATGGATCCACTTGGCACCTTCTTGTCTGTAGCATCATGGTTGCTATGCCAAGATGCCACAGCATCTTGCTGTGGGCAGTGTTCACCTACATATACACCCCCAGGAGTTGGATGCATTTGCTCTGGAGGAAGAGGCATTACTTTCACAAAGTAAACGGCATTTTCATTACGTTGCAATGAGGCCCTTGTTTTTAAACCTGACAGGGCCTTGTTGTTCCTTGTTCGCTTTTCCTGGACAGAAATATCAACTACCGACTGAGATGCTAGTGTTTGAGAATACAATATGGGACATGGCTGGAGTTTCAGCTTTTCATTCCATGCTTGAAGAAACTTCTCCCTGCAAGATTTTGGCTTTTCTGTGTCATTGGGATGCACGGCCATCTTATCTTTTGTGGCTGCTGCCTCCATGAGAGTTTCTGAGATTTAAAGATTGAGATAGAAGTGAAAGTCAATGAAAAGAACTTTCTAATATGTAATTTGCTAAAGGGTGGTACTTCTAGTATTTCCCCTCACCTCCAGGTCTCTTAATTGATGTAGGAATAGCTGTAGTGTTGCCAGGCAACACACATTCTAGATCTCACAGGCCTGGAGTAAGCTTCGTGGCCTAAGCCATGGAAGCTGTAGCAGTTGGGACAAAGATCCAAACTTTCCAGGGTCATAAGCATTCTGACATAAGTAATCTGGAACAAATGATCAGTTAATTTAGGTCAGGATGCCCTTTTTACATGGAATCTATTCCTAACCAAAGCTGCAGCTGGGAAACCTTGAATATCTTGTATGTGTTTACAGCAGTGTTTTTCAACCTTGACTGCTTGTAGATGTGTGGGCTTTAATTCCTAGAATTCCCCAGCCAGCATGCTCACTGGGGAATTCTTGGAACTGAAGTCTACAACATCTTCAAGCTGCCAAGGTTGAGAAACACTGATTTACAGTGCAATAATGCACCCAGAAATCAGAATTGTTTTCCTTTCTGATTATATGCTGTCATAGTTCTGTGGCTGCTCACAGAGAAGAGAGCCCTGAAGCTTGCAGAAGCCATTCCCGATCTGTTGCCCTCTTGACATACTGGACTCCATGCTGGCAGGGAACTGTAGGAAATCTAAAGCAAGAGGGTACCAGATTGGGGAAATGGTATATTCCTTGCCTGATCCCACAGAATGGGAGGTCATAATCTCATCCTCAGATTCTACGGACTTTTGGACTTGATGTAAAGGAGCAAGGAGCCAAAGTACAGATCTGCTGGAGAGACTGCTTATCAAGCCTTTTCAAATATCTTTCTAATATAGGCAGTTGCAATGTTAATTGCATTCATACTCTGGTCTTGGTTAAGCAACCAGATCTGCCCTGCAAAAATCCAGGTGGCCACTAGATTGGCAGCAGAAAACCCTGCTGGCTTCTTTTTAATTTTTTTTAAGCAAAACTTTCAACAAAATTTTGCTTTCCTTCTCTAGTAAATGTGCCTGCTCTGCAGCTAGGGTGTTTTGTTTTGTTTTTGCTTTGAACTTTGAACCTTGTGATCCTTTTCATGATTTTAGACAGTTTTATATTTGTATTATCAGTTGGGCTATTTCATTCTTCAACTTGATAGAAATCTAATAAATAAGAAGCTCTTTAAACTAAACCCATTAACATTTGTATAAATTTGGGTCTTCTAAATTTGGTACAGTGATTAAGGTAGCAGGCTAGAAAACAGTGGACCATCAGTTCTAGTCCTGCCTTAGACACAAAACCAGCTGGGTGACTTTGGACCAGTCACTATCTCCAATCCTAAGAAGGAGACAAGGGCAAATCTTGCTAGAAAAACTGCAGGGATTAGCCTAGGCTGTTGCCAGGAGTTAACACTGACTTGAAGACACAAAACAAACAAACAACTGGATCAATAAATAGCAATAGCACTTAGACTTATATATCGCTTTATAGTGTTTGCAGGCCTCTAAGCTGTTTACAGAGTCAGCATATTGCCCCCAACAATCTGAGTGCTCATTTTACCCATTTTGGAAGGATGGAAGGCTGAGTCAACTTTGAGCCTGATGAGATTTGAACTGCCAAATTGCAGTCAGCCAAAGTAGCCTGCAGTACTGCACTCTAACCACTGTGCCACAGTGGCTCATAATGTGTTATTCACCTGCAATATAAATATTTTGCTTGCACCTTTCTGTCCAAATATCGTTTGATGCAGTGCTTAAGAAGAGCCAGTTTGGTGTAGTGGTTAAGGCATCGGACTAGCAACTGGGAGTTCTAATCCTGCCTTAGGCACAAAGCCAACTGGGTGACCTTGAGCTAGTCAGTTTCTCTTAGCCCTAGGAAAAAGGCAATGGCAAGTCACTTCTGAAAAACCTTGCCAAGAAAATTACAGGGACTTTTCCAAGTGATCTCTGAGAATTGGACACAATTGAAGAGAGGAAGAAAAATAAATGAGCAGCCTAACTCTCTGACCTATGACATTCCTGAGGACCAAGGAGGAGAGACAGCACTTCCATTACAACAGCAACTACTGTGCCCGGAGTCTCACTGAGTGACCAACAATTAGGTAACAGAGAATCTGTGAAATGTAAGGGAACAGTTTTTTCCAAACTGTGTGTCATTCAATTGCTCTTGTTCTCTGTTCCTGGGCATGAATATTTTAGCAAATAGCCTCAGGTTTCTTTTTGAGGAGGAAGAGATTGGATATGAATTTTCTTTCATTTTCAAAGCAGTTGCACAGAAGCAAATTGGGGAAATAATTCAAAAGCTGCCAGTTCTCTGGAAGCAAAGTGGGGGGTTTGTGTGTGTGGGAGGCAGCACTGATTTACTGACAATTGGGTTTCAAAAACTATGGTTACTAAATAAAAGGGATATAAAACCAAATGCCACACCTTGGTCAATAACCCTCTTGGATTTTAATTTATTACATAACTAAAATTACTTACTTGATTGAACTTGTAAAACTATGAAACAGCTTTTTTTTGTCAGTCAGGAAAGACCAGGTCTACATGTGAAGATCCAATTAAATTAATTTATTGCTATACATAGGAATCTTCTCAACTAATGGTTAGCACCTGCTTGGAGTTAGATAAGTGTCAACTGAATTTAAGGGGAGTGAACTCAGCCCATGGCTACATAGGGATTCTAGGCTGAACCCTCTTTTAACCCCACCCCCAGATTCTGCCACTCCTTCATCTATTTCATCTACTAATTAGTACTCATCTTTTCATGAAAAGTATAAAGAGATGTATCTCTTATTTAATCCAATGAGGATGTGAAATTAGAATATGGGGTGGGGACAATTTCAATAAAATCTACTTTAATGTATGTAAATTATCCAAGCCAGCTCAGTAATTAATTCATGCACATTGTCTCTTGAACTGAGCAGTAACCCTGCTTTTCTTGAATCTATTCTCTTCATGCCTGTTCCCACAATTTTCTTTCACCCAAGTATTATCACAAACCTTTGAAATTCATATGCTGACCTCAACACTTTTAATTTTAAAAAATCTGGCAGGATTTGACCTCCAGGAGAAAAATGGTGAAAATGGTGATGACCGTGGCAGAATGAAGAGCTGGCAAGCTCTTCATAATTTCTCTCCCAATCAGGAAAGCTCATGAAATTGTCTACAATGTGATAGGATGGGATTTTTAAGGTTCGACATTAGAGGGAACTAGAGGGAACTAAAGATTACAATGAAAGGAGAATAACACTTATATAATAAGAATGGAGGAAACTATTTTAACATTGAACATACTGAAGGATATTTTTGAACAATGGCCCTTTAACTTTTGATTTTGTTTAAAAGGAGTTATGGAAGAGAAATCTATTTTATCAGACAAGACTGAGACTTATCAGAAAATGGATCTAAAAAATGACAGGCTAGAAGAATGATATGGAAAAAGATGCTACACTGGACATGTAAATGAAATTGGCTGGTATCTTAATAATTTAAAGGGATATACAAATAACAAACCAAAAGAGTGACCTGGATAACTTTCCTATTA